CATCTTTGTCTTTATAGAAGCAAGAAGACCTTTGACTACCCAATTTGCTTCTTCTTACATCCTGATAATAGTTCTTAATGTTTTTGTTGATCATGTGATTTTCTATCATTTTCAAGCCCATTTCCCAGTATTCACGCTTTTTCTTTCTACACATCTCTTTCACTTTTCGTTTGGCTTGCTCATATCTTTTCCTTGACTCTGTTGTTCTAGATACATCCATTTGTATTTTTGCTTTCTGTCTTTGTTCCAATTCCCGTTTACAGTCATCATCGAACCACTCTTTGTTTTTTCTAGTACTCGTTTTTCTCATCATCTGTTCTGCTACATTAGTGATTATTGCTTGGATATGATTCCATTCCTGATTAATATCCTGCACAACTGGTGTGTTTTGCAGTCCTGTCGCTATTGCTTGTTCAAGTTGGTGTCTAACTGACGTATCTTCTAGCGCTTTTGTTTCGTACCTTTTGATTGTCTTCTGTCTCTCTAACTGTTTCTTCGGGATTTCTTGTTTTATAACAGCTACTACCATAAAGTGATCCGTATCACTATCTGCACCCCGGTAACTTCTAACATTGTGGATATTGCAGGCATGCTTGTTTTCGATCAGTACGTGGTCAATTTGATTCGCAGTATTACCACCTGGTGAGATCCATGTTGTCTTGTGGATATCTTTCCTGTCAAAATAAGTGCTCATTATCTTGAAATTTTGTTCAATTGCAAAGTTAATCAGGAGTTTGCCATTTTCATTTGAGAGTTCATGTTTGCTTTTCCCTCCTGTAACGTTTCGATAAGTGTCTTCACGCCCAACTTTGCATTGCAGTCTCCTAATATTATTTTGATATCGTATTTTGGTAGACTATTTATCACGTCATCTAACTGTTGATAAAAGTCTGTTTTGATATCCATATCCTTGTCTTCACTTGGGGCATGTACATTGATCATTGTTACTTTCCTGTACTTTCCTCTCAGGCGTAGATAACACAATCTTTCCGATATAGGTTTAAATTCTACTATCGTGTCTTTTAGCTTTGCATTTATTAGAAATCCTGTCCCAAAAAGTCAATTTGCACCACCGCTATTACAAAATACGAAATTTTCGCACTGGGATATTCCTGTTTCTTTAAGTTTCGTTTCTTGAAGAGCTAGAACGTGTACTTTATATACGTTCACTATGTTGACTAAGTTTTTCAGTGCACCTGCTTCGTAGATACTTCTGACATTCCAAGTTGCAATTCTTATTTGCTCTTCTTTAAATTTATACGTACTTAACGTCTTATTTCTTTCGTTATTTTTATTCCTGTTCCCTACCTGTTCCATTGTCATAGCCACATTTTCTGTCGTCTCCAAGATATCCTTTTCTCTAAACGTAACTAGTTTTTTTGGATCAATGTGTCTGGTTTCAACACCTGGTCTTTTTTATCCCATCTCCATTTTTCTCCACTGATCAGCAAGTTCATATAACCTATCTTGACTGTATTTCCTTTTGCTCTCTCCGTTTTAGCTCTGTCTCTTATATGCTTTTGAATCATCATCTCACTTTTTGTCAAATCACTGTTTATGTAGATTTTTTGCGTTTTCAAAAATTGCACCTTACCTTTGGCTTTCATGATCTTCATTTTAGCATCAAAACTCTTCAACTCCGCAATATAGAGGTTCTCTTTTATTTTTTGGGCGGACTGAATATCTGCCTCTGGAGACAGTCTGGTTTTCAGAAAGTTTTCTACTGATTGCTTTAAATCCTCGTTACCTCCTGTCCCTAGGTTTAAACCCGAGATCACTATATTATTTTTTCTTCTACCTTTCTCTAGGTGCTCTATCCTTTGTTCTACTTCTTCCAACTGCTCAACCCTCTGTTTAAGCATACTGATTTCCTGCATCATGTCTTCGTTTCTTTGTTTAAGAATTGTATTTTGTTCTTTAAGTAACCTCATTTCCTCACGATTTTCCTCCCGAAACCCTCTAAACTCCTCCATAAGACTTTTCATCATGTCCTTAATTTCTTCCATCTCCTTGTTAGTAACTCTTTTATTTCCATCTTTTGTCGGGGTTCTTATTATCTTTTTACTTTTTTTAAAGGCTTCTGTCTCTTGCTCTTCAATCCTCTTTCTTTTGCTTCCCTCGTCTGTTGACTCTTCAGTTGCGCTATCTTCACTCTGTCTAGAGCTGATACGGAATGCCGACATCTACACTCTATTATCTCCGCCTATGCTTTTAGTCTTCTACAGGGTGGGGCAAAAGTCGCGAAGGGATTTGAAAAATTAATAACTTTTTAAATTTTAATTTTAATTTTTTTTCCTAACACAAAACTAAAATGCAATGTTTGGAGTTTGTTTACAATTTAAGTGTGAAAGATTACATCACGCAAATGACCGCCATTTTCAGCCTCGCAAAGTGCAGCTCTTGCAAGAGCATTTTCCATTACCCGAGTCAGAATATCTGGCCCCAAAGCACTTACTTCTGCTCGAATATTATCTTTTAGTTGCTGCAGGGTTGTGGGTTTATTAATATACACTTTTCCTTTCAGATATCCCCAAAGGAAATAATCAGGGGCTGTTAAGTCCGGCGAGCGGGCGGGCCAATTGAATCCTGAATTTCTCGAAATTAAACGTTCGCCAAAAATCTGCCTTAGAAGGTGCATAGTGGCTCGAGCAGTATGCGCAGTGGCTCCATCTTGTTGGAAAGTCATCGTTTGATTGTCAGCAAGAGCTGGTCTTAAGAAATTTTGAATCATATCACGATATCGGTCGCCATCTACAGATACAGCATTCCCATCGTGGTCTTCGAAGAAGAATGGTCCAATAATTCGTTGAGACGTAACTGCGCACCATACTGTACATTTAAGCGGATGTAATTGCCTTTGATGAACCACCCTTGGGTTCTCGGTACCCCATATTCTGCAGTTCTGCTTATTTACGAAGCCATTCAAATGAAAATGGGCTTCATCGCTCATGATCAGAGAATGAATAAATTCATTATCTTCTCGAGCCATTCTTTGCAAGCGAACTGCATAAGTTAGTCGTTCTTGAAAATCTGCTGGTTTTAGTTCTTGCACTAGCTGCACTTTATATGGAAACAGATGTAAATTTCCTCTTAATATTCTGCGTAAAGACCTTTGAGACATCTGCAGCTCAGCAGAACGTCTTCGGGTTGAGGTTTCCGGATTCTCCTGAACACTCTCCTGAACGCGTTGAATGTTCCCTTCATTTCTTGCGGAACGTGGCCTTCCGCTTCGTGGGAGATCCATAACTGTGCCTTGTTGCTGAAATCGTGCCACTAAGCGTCGAATCATTGATTCAGAGGGCGAATTCCGCAAATTGAAATGACGACGATATGCTCGTTGAGTTTGAATTATTGAATGGTGATATTCAAAATAAAATTCTATAAGTTTGGTTCGTTGATTGAGGTTGTAACGCTCCATAATTAATCTCCAGGATTTATTTTACACGGTCCTGAAAAAAAAATGAAAACAAAATAAATTTAAAAAAGTTATTAATTTTTCAAATCCCTTCGTGACTTTTGCCCCACCCTGTATTGTGTATATATGGCTGTCTACGCTGATCCACGCAAGGCGCCGCAGGTACCGATTTCCCGGGTCGACCCCTCGGAGGAAAGATGGTACCGATCAGCTGTTGGCGATTCGAGATTTCTTATTTCAAGTGCAAATGACACTTACCCCGCAGATCTTCGCTTTTTGTTTATTTCAAAGTGTCTCAGTTTAACTAATTCACGCTTGACACTACTTTTCAATAAATAAAATGACTCGAAACTGCCCGTAATACGAATTTAATTTCGGAGCCCAGTTTCATATTGCTTATCACTCTCAGTGGCGTACTCGTCTTAAGATTGATAGCTTTGTCTATACTGGGATTTTGTTGGAGTGTTTGGGAAGAATGTGTAATATTTAGATGGGAAGGTACCTGGGTTTTCAGTAGGAGGTCTAATTTAACTGTTAGGTCGGTAATTGTCCGCTGCTGGGTTTCGATGATCATCAATGTTTCATTGGTCTTCTTATCATGGTCCTTTTTTGACAGCTAATGTCGAACCATCTCCAATTCAGCTCTCAACTCCTCTACGGCCTGCTCCTTCGACTCCATCGCCATTGCCATGGTGGAAGCACCATTTTCTGACCCCCCTGGGTCAGTTTCCATAGTAAATACCTCCGTTATCTCGATTTTCGTCTCAAAAACTTTCCGGATCGAAATTACGGGACAACTGCTATCAGTGCCTTATACAGGGCGATTTACCAGAACCTTAAGCTAGCCATACACCATCCTTCCTATCGTCCGATCGGCATGACGCTGCAGACTTGATCCAATTTACAGTTCGTCCATATACACCACACACGATTATTTTGAACTGTCCAATTGGTAGCGATGTTCAGTTGAAGCGATGGCGTCACCAGTGACAGACGACGATGTTTCAGCAGTTTTGGGCATTTTACTCGTAGTAAAGAAACAAAAAAAAAAGAAAAGATCGAGCTGTGTGATGCAAACAGTGGTTAATGAAAAGAAAACAGTTTACTCATACAAATTTATTAAAAGAATTGAGGATTACGCCAAAAGATCATCGAAATTATTTACGAATGAATGAAGAAACTTACATGAAACTTCTATCGTTAGTGACTCCGCTAATTGAGAAGCAAAACACTGTCATGAGAAACCCTATATCTGCACACCAGAGGCTAACAGTGTCTTCACGATTTCTAGTAACAGCGAGAACATATGAATGCCTAAAATTTTCGGCAATAATATCGCCTCAATCTTTAGGGCGAATTATACCACAAACCTGTAATGCTATTTTCAAAGTTCTCAAAAAGGATTACATACCGGTAAGAGTATTTAGAAACTAGCTGATTCCCGCGGCCACCGTGATAAGAAGTATCCAGTACTTCATCTATTCATATCATACTTACCAAGTTTCATTCAAATCTGTTCAGCCGTTGAGACTTGAAAGAGGATATATCCAGTACAGGTATTTTTAATTAAATTTGTCTTTTGCAGTTTCCCGATACTTCCGCTAAATGGAAAGAACTTGCAAACCTCTTTGAAGAAAGGTGGAATTTCCCTCATTGCCTGGGAGCAATAGATGGGAAACACATTGATATAATCCCACCTGCTGACAGCGGTTCTTATTACTACAACTACAAAGGACGACACAGCATGGTTCTCATGGCAATTGTTGACGCAAGATACTGATTTATAATGGCAGATTTTGGGACAAATGGAAGAGTTTCTGATGAAGGGGTATTACAAAACACCAAGTTTTGATTGGATCATGCTGATTGGAGCGTGTATGGCGGTAGGTGTACGTGAACTGTGAGTTCAGTAGAGTCAAGATTTTTGTCGGTGGTAGACGTCATGTCGCAAAATACAGCCCGGTATCGCGAAATGCTCCTAGAGTTTACCTCTATATATCAAAGTGAACCGTGTTTATGGAAAGTGAAAAGTAAAGAATATCATAATAGGTACATATGTGTCTATGGTTATGTTGTAGTTCAATGTTAGATTGTTTGCCGTCGAGTTGGGACCCGGCGATTTTTTTGAGAAAAATAGATATTCAATATTATTATTTGTTTCAGAGAAAAGAGAAACGCAGCTTTGGATAAGTTATTGAAGAAATTGGCAAAACTTTTAGGCTTAAGTTGACTCTTTTGACGATAAAATCAAGCTTTCGGCATTCTCTATGGAGCCATCATCAGGATTCTGAAAACACAATTGTGATGCTAGCAAAGAAAACAGGACAGATTTAAAATGTCAGACAACTTACTCGTCGGTGAGGTTGCAGCCACAAGGTGTTTCAGAAAGAACGTAGAGGAGACCGAACTTCTGTTCAGTATAAAAACAAAAGGACGGGGACATTGGGCTTGTTTAAAAACGACAGATACCTTCGTTAAAAGTTAAGAAAAAATAAAAATTATATCAATACAGCTGGACAAGTTAAAAACGTGTAATATTTTTAACTCAGAAGCAGTTTTAGTTCCCTTTGCTCCCAACGACTACCACAAAATTTATATTCACGAAAAATCTATTGCTTTCGATGGCCTTCTTGGTTCAGATTTCCTCGAGCACTACGATTGCATTATCGATTTGAAAAATCGTCAATTAATCACAGAATTCAAAACCATCCCTCTTTTCAAAGTAGGTGATGAATAAAATACCCAAACTTCTGATTTCAAAGGAAATCCCCAAACTTCTAATTTCAAAGAGAAGTTCAAAATATCATCCCAGTCCCTCCTAGAGTTGAACAGGTTATCAAGCTTAAATCAGAGCTTAAAAATACCGAAGCCATCCTTCTGGCGTGCGAGGTAGAAAAAGTCGTTCTACCCAGCTCCATCGTTAAAATCAATTCTAACGGCGAATTTCTCACTACAGTCTTGAACTGTAATGCCATTCCTAAAAATGTGATTCTGCCCAAATTAGAATTTGAACCCCTGAATTGGTGACAAAGTCTTTGTCAAACAATCCCAAATTTCCAATAAGCTTCAAAATAAATTAGATGGACCTTATGAGGTCATTCAAGTATTTGAAAATTCAGCATTACTCAAAAATCCGGAAACAAACAAAACAACTAAAGTCAATTTCGACAAACTGAAACCATGTTTTGAGACTTAGTTTTTCTTCCTGGTGTAGTCTGCTGTTTGTACGGCCCAGCTTGACATCAAACCCATTAACAACACATTAGGTATCTACTTCCAAGAAGATGGCCCTCTCAAAATTTCTAACGAAGTTTGGACATTACTCGTTTACAAAGATCTTGAACTGACCAAAAACGCGCTCGACGATAACAATAATATGCTGGAACACTTAACCTCTCTCGTAAATAAATCTACTAATCGCATGAAAGTATTTAGAAGCGAAACTAAGACACATACGAGCCTTCTCTATCAAATTTTCCGTTCCTTGAAAACCAAATATTACGAAATTTTCAACGATACAACTAGCGCATCGCGCATGAAACGCGGCCTAATTAATGCCATAGATACAATTTGGAAAGCAATAACAGGTAACCTCGATTCATCTGATGTTGAATATTATAACGACTGCATTAACACAATTTCTAAAGAGGAACATGAGCTTGAAAACCTTATGAAAAATCAGATCTCAGTAATCATGTCGGTTATTAAGAACTTCAATAATACTATACAGAAACTGCAAATTGACGAAGCTACTTTTAACGAAGACATAAAGGTTATTAAAAATAGAATTTATGAAATTTCAGATGATCTTGCCTTTTATGAAGCTAGATTTCAATTTTTGGAACTTTGCGAACAACTAATGGAAAGTTATATGTTTCTATTATTCATCCTTCGATAATTACTCCTCATGATTTAGTAAATTCTCTTCAAGAAATCTCTCATTCCTTATCAAAAAACAATTTACCTATGCCAGTCAATTTGTCAACACTATCGGAATATCTCAATTTAATGGAACTTGAATCATTTCAAACAAAAACAAAAGTAGTTTTCCTCCTACGCATCCCATTGTTAGAACCTCAAGTTTACACTTTATACCCACCCATTTTAGATGAACGTACAGGTCTATTTTATGTAATTTCTACCTTACAGAGATACGTTGCCAAAGATAGCGATTCTCTTTTGTACGTCTCGATTACCATATCTAGCCCGCTGCCCATCACAATGAAATCCGGACAACGTGAGACAACTACAAAGGTCATCAAGGCTAATATACTTTTGAAAATGCAGCCAGAATGCCGTGGATTCATAGGTACTACAAGGCTTCAAGCCAGATATTCTGTTAACACTTATAAGAATATCACTTATAAAAGCCACCCTGTAGAGATACCCTACGAATGCTGCAATCATCTCCCTGATAAACAAAATTTGCCGAACCTGAAACCGATCAAGCTAACCAAGATCGATACAGAAGAGCTAGAAATCGCCAACCACAAGTTGAAACAGTATTCTGAACAACTTGATAAACTTATTAATGAGCCTTTTGTTTCACGACATATCTCCTGGTTTACGTACGTCGTCATAACCCTGCTAGCCGTCATCTTAGCCCTCTATATCTTCTGCAAGTGCAGAAAACGCCGACCACTCAGTATTTGTGCACCAAATTACCCAACTGATGGACCGTCACCAGGAACGTCGAAAGTCAGATACATCCCCAGGCTCTTTCCACGTCGAAGACCAACCATCCAACCCCATGAAGAAGAAATTGAACTACAGTAGTGTTCAGTGAGTGAAAAGTTCCAATTGTGAAAAATAAATTTTCCTTTTCATTTTTAATGACATATTTGTACGCATTGCTTTTAACGTTTTTTTTATGCTAACAATTTTATTTTTCAGAATCTATATTTTCTGATTTTATTTTGCAATTTTATTTTCCCTACTTTTATATTTTTATATTTTACAATGTTTACAATTTTACATGTCTACACTTTTACATTTTTGAATTTTTACATCTTTTACATTTTTCTAATTTTGTCAAAAGTTGTAGCATGGCAACAACTTTTTGTAATATGGCGAAGTTGTTATATGCACTCATAACAATGGACTTACTATTCCATACAATGTTGCATCAGACGCTAGCTCAGCAACAGATAAACGACTTCTCGCTAACTCGTTGCTTATGCTTTGTTTTCTAGAAGTGCTTTGTAAGCACACCAATAGTATAAATAGGCCTTGCGCCCATTTCATGTGGGTCAACACCCGGCTAGAGACCGTAACAGTCACTTTTGTAAACTTCGTGTCCAATTCTCTGTCAAGTCAAGTAATTGTAAACGCTTCTAATTTGTAACGGACAGTAGCTACTGTCCTCTAATAAAATTTTTTAAAAGTACAGTTGAATTTAAATGATATAATATATATATATACGTATATATGTATATATAAATTATGTTTCTTAATGCCGATTTGTCCTTTTAAAATCAATTTATTTGGTACAAGTGATCGGTACAATGGCTGGATCAAGACTGACTTGAAAATAATTTCATTAACAATGTAAAAATCAAATGTGGCAATAGTTATAGATCGTAAACAATGTGGAATGTGCTGAATCTGCTGAATTGGTCGGTCGATGTACTGGTTGCTAGGCTAGGTGACTAGGTAACTCCTCCGCTCCTAGAAGGAAGCTTCCTCTGGAAGATTCGGGATTCTTGTTCCAACTTGAATGTCTTCTTCTCTCGATGAAACTTCGGTGGCATGATTGGAGCTCTCGCTTCTTGACTTCATGATTTTCTTGAATTTTTAAAATGCAAGCAGCAGGATGAGAATGGGGGCTGCTAAGTACAGGAGGATTGTCCACGCACTGGGAATAATAAAGTTGTGTTCTGCTTGGCTACTGCATCTGACTTCAATTTTTTCACGTTCTGGGAAAACAGCGACATACTATATGTGTTGATTTCTGGGATGATATCAACGTAATTTTCGTTAATTTATACTTTTGAGAGAGAACAGCTTTTTACATCATTGTTCTTCAGAATACTTGATTCGCAAGTGACGTTTGCGTTGACTTGGAATTGCCGTGGGCAGTGGTATATTTTGGTTTTTATGCACATGCCGCTTAGTGGTCTGATTAAATCATCAGATTTTGATTTTTAAAGATATTTAAAATTTGGAAAAATTGAGAGTAATTGTTACCCAACTACAGTAGGCATAGGGTGCAAATAATATAAGTCAAAGTTGTCTTCGAAATCAATTGGCACTGACAGAAAATATACATTTTGAGTTGCCTCAATTTTACAGTGTTCTTTTATTATCGATTCAATATTTGTTTTAAATGGAAGATTATTCTTATAATAGTTTGAGATTTTGTTGAGTTCAATATAAAGATCTGAAGGTCTGATTATACTAGGATGGATGGTACCCATTTTAGAAAAAGTGACAGAATTTTCGATATCTTGTAATGTATTAAGTATAGAACCATGTAAAATGAATAGCTGTTGAAAGATGTCTTTGCAAAAAAATGTCTTGTTATGTAGCACATGTTTTAATTAATTTAAATGTTATCTTCATTGCCTGGATGTGATTCAGTATCTTAAAAATTTGATCGCCATCATTAGCATCAAGATTACCGGTAATATACTTAACTATGCTATCTAAACCATCTACCAATACTCTTCTAGTTCTATTATTATAGACACTATGAATTTTAATATTATCTATCTTAGGCATCAGCGGTGGCCACAGTAGTAGACTCTTTGGTCTCCTGATGAGTCGCCGTGCGCTGTGCGGGTTCGAATCCCGTCCCAGGAGTTTTCTCTTGGCTATGGATGTTGTGATTGTCCGTAGATGGTAGACGGTCTCTGACTGTCGAACGCGGAGGTACCACCCGGCG